GGTCATTTCCTGAGAAAGGAACTCAGATAAAACAGAAGTTTCAAGCTTTAACAGCAGAAGGGTCCATATCTATGTTTATCCAAAAGCAGCTGTCTATGAAACTCTTGGGCCAGTTTCACTTGAATATTAAAACAAATATATTTCAATGTTTATAAGCAAACTTCTGCAATATATATAATGACTGCATGATGTTTCATTATACGTTTGAGCCATACTACTTTCTTTCCCGTGGTATGGCTTTCTTTCAATAAATGTTTTTCCTTTCTTTCAATAAATGTGTTAGAGAGCCTCAGGTACAGACCATGGAGGCCATCTTACTCTTCTGTTCCTGGCACATCAACCTTGGCCTATTCTAAGGTTCATTTAATTATTCCAACAGTCCCTTCCATTCTCCACCACCACCCCATAAGCAATTATGTTAATGGTTTATCTTTTTGTTTTTGTTCCTGAAAAATGTATGTATCATTGTTTTTATGCATGCTTTTTTTAAGTTATGTGGATGACCATGTTAATATATTATTTTGTTGGCCAGGTGCGGTGGCTCATGCTGTAATCCCAACACTTTGGGAGGCTGAGGCAGGTATTACAAGGTCAAGAGATCAAGACCATCCTGGCCAACATGGTGAAACCCTGTCTCTACTAAAAATACAAAAATTAACTGGGCATGGTGGTGTATGCCTATAGTCCCAGCTACTCGGGAGGCTGAGGCAGGAGAATCACTTGAACCTGGGAGGCAGAGGTTGCAGTGAGCCAAGATGGTGCCACTGAACTCCAGCCTGATGACAGAGTGAGACTCTGTCTCAAAAAAAAAAAAAACAACTATATCATAATCTATATGTTTATGATTCAACTACATTGCTACGGCTACATCTAATACACTGCTTCTAACTACTGTCTAGTGCTCCCTGTCTTGAGCATCTTCCCCATTTTACTCACCTACTTCTTAGTGCAGAACACTCAAATTGCTGTGAACTTTCCCCTCCACAAATAATGCTGCAATGAATATCTTCGTGGACATATGATGCTTTCTTGGGAAAAAACCCCAGAGCAGTTTGTGGGTAATACATTTAATTTGATTAATTGTTGCCAGATGGTCCTAGAATGGCTGTACCAGTCTACATCCCTATAATCAGGGCATGTAGTTCCTAAAACCCCACAGCCCCAACTAGACTATCATCTGGCTTTTTCTTTGCCAGTCCAATAGATATAAACATTTATCTCATTTTAACTTGTATTTCTCTGGCTGCTAATAGAATGAACATGTTTTTAATGTTAAGATGTTCCAACTAAGAGCATGGAGTATCTCCTCATTTATTCAGATCATCTAATATCCGTAATCATTTATCTATTGTTGCACATTTAGGTTCCCTCCAAGGAAGAGAGAAAGAGAAAAAGGGAGACCCAATTTATTTAGAAAGCCCATTAATCACCTTGGAGGGCGGAGGAGGAGATGGAATGGATGTTCTGGTGGCCACTTGTCCTCTGCTTACCTTTGCAGGATCCAGCCAAGTGCTCAGAGAACATTAACAAAAGATGGGGAGGATTGGAGGATGGTGTTCAATGAACTTCACTGCTTAATCGTTCATGAGCAATAACAGCTTTTAAATAGAATATGTAGATTAATTCTTACCTTTATCAAGTTCCACAGTATTCAACAAATGATTTCAAATTGTCAATAGCTAGGATAAAGTAGAATGGGTGGGAGTGGGTGGGAGAGCAGGGTGGCGTTAGGAGCGGGGTCTTAGAGTATGGTGGTGACGGCAGAAGGGACTAACAAGCTGCCGGACCAGGACGTTTCACCCTTGGATTTGAGGGTTCCTTAGCGCTTTTTCCCCATTTTGTTAAGAAATTTCCTCTTATGGGATAAGGAGCAATTCTCCAGCTCATTTGACACATGGGGCCTAACATATACTTGTGCTATTGGTTGATAACATTAAGATAAGGGAAGGATTTTACATGGCCAAGAGTCCAAGACCAATCCCAGTCTAACAGAATCCCAATATCTAGGGATGAAGCACAGGAATCTGTTTTGTAAAGAAGTCCCCCGATTATTCTGGTGTTAAACTAGAAAAGCCCACTGGGCTCATTCATTCCTCCACAGCCTTCAAGCTAACTCCCACCATGTTACACCTTCATACTCAGCATGTCAGGCAATCAGCTCCAGCCCAACACTTGAGACCCCCCAGTCATGACTTGCTAAGAAACAATCACATCCCCTCTTGGTATAATTCAAGCTTCTATTCAGCATTCAGGGCCAATGTCAGCTACCCGTCTTGCACACTGTACTAATATAGGAAAACATACAAGAGCCATTTGTTTCATACTTTTAGAAACATCAAAATTGCAAACAACCCTGATTGGAGAGTTGGACAAATAAGAATGGTATGACAGTTTTCTGTCTTGGAATTTTACAGATAATGCCTGTGTTCAAGGGCTGTGCTGTACTAAGCAGTGGCTGCTGGCACAGGGAAAGGTGTAATTCTCTCCTGGATTGTAGGAGTTGCAGCTCACACAGAGAGTCCTTTATGATGTAGGCCAGTCAGCTTTTATGGACTTCGATGCTATTTGCTTCAGTACCCTTTGAAATGCAGGGTCAGCTCACTGAGCTACATCATGCAATAATAACACATTTTTATAGGAGTAGCTTGTCAGAGCAGCAACAACATGCAATACATAAAACCAATAAACACACCGTGTTACAGATTCTATCCTAGTAAACAGGATAAAGCAATAAAATTGACAGCAGCCATCAAAAAGCTCCCTTTCTGACTTTGTGGGGTGAATTTACTGTTGCTTAAAACAGAGCAGCTGTCACAAAGCCTTAGATCAGTTATGGCGCAGCAAGCTGCATCGCATGGAAGGGAGCGGGCCTGAGAAGGGAAAGCAGGATGGGCAATTATGCTTTGCTAAGGCTTGGGCCCCTTTCACTGTTAGTGTGATGCAATTCACATCAGAGATTTTCTACAGAATGGTTTCGTTTTTCCAAGTTACATATTAAATATTATGGAGGACAGTATGTCTATGGGTTGGTAAATCAGCAATTAGTATTTCCCATCTGCAGCTTAAATCCCTAAGGCAAGAAAGGGCTTACCTGTGACAGAATATGCAGGGACTCAATGGGTTGGTGCTATCTAAGACTGGATTCTTAGAGTGTGGACCTTCCACATTTTACATGGAATCATTTGACTGGGAACCCAGAGCCAACCTTAGTCCAACAGCATCTCAGAATCTGGTGGTGAGGCCTGGGAATCCATTTTGTAAAAACTTCCCTTTGAGATGCCAGTGAAAAACATGTGGGAGGCCCAGGAAACTGTGGCGAGGTCAGGAGCTAAAAGTCAGCGGCATGGGCATGGTGACAGAACTAGGAGCTAATAAAGGCTCAGGGATCAGCACATATTAAAAACATATTGAGTCTTGGCTGGGCATGATGGCTCACACCTGTAATCCCAGCGCTTTGGGAGGCCAAGGCGGGCAGATCACTTGAGGTCAGGAGTTTAAGACTAGCCTGACCAACATGGTGAAACCCCATCTCTACTAAAAATATAAAAATTAGCCAGGTGTGGTGGTGGGCGCCTGTAATCCCAGCTACTCGGGAGGCTAAGGCAGGACAATGGCTGGAACCTGGGAGGCGGAGGTTAGAGTGAGCCAAGATCACACCATAGCACTCCAGCCTGGGTGACAGAGCAAGACTCAGTTTAAAAAAAAAAAAATCATATAAGTATATATATATAGAGAGAGAGAGAGAGAGAGAGAGAAAGACTCATTACTATGTCCCCGGCATGTTCTAGGGTATCCTTGGGCAAAGACCCTCTCATAGAGCTTGTATTTGGGAGAAACAAGACAGGACAGACTAATTAAAACAAATGAAGAAGATAATTCCAAACACGGATAAGCATTATAAAGATAATAAAACCAGGTGAGGCATAGAGGTTACTTTGGATTAGCTAGGTCAGAGAAGAACTCCCTGAGAGGAGAAAATATTAGCACTAAAATCTCAAGGAGATGAAGGAACAAGCCATTTGGAGGTCAATGGCAGCGTCTTCCAGGCAAAGGAAAGAGCAAGTGTGAAGGCCTGAAATCCCTGAGCAGGGAAGAGGTTCACCCACTGCTGTTCCCTGCCTTTCCTGCTTTTCCTGGGGGTGAAAGACAAACAGGATGACCCCCAAGTTTCCACTCTGTTATGATGTTCCACTAGTATGTCCTCAACTTAAGGGCTAATATATTCTGATTGGTTTGATACGTTTTTACTTTGTTAGCCTATCAGAATGTTATAACTACAAGTTACCACCTCTATCTCTACCCTAAAATTGGTTATGGAACAGAATCCAGGCCTTGTTAATGCACCACTTGAGTCCAGGAGCTCCCGCCCAGCTTGTCTGGCAATCAACTTCAGAAGATAGAGGCCTGCGTGAGTATGGCCCTTTAGGTCTAAGTCATGACATTGCTCTTTGTCTATCTGCATTCAGTGGTCCAGGCCGCTGTCCATTGCTGATGTGACCTTTACTGACATCCCCAGCCTCAACAGAAACCACTTCTCACTAATCCAGCTTTACTGTGTTCCCAACAGCTAGCATGCAGGGATGGCTCCTTCCTCATTTTCATGTAAATATGCTATTTCAAATGCTCTCCAAAACAAATAGGCTTTTAAGGACTAGTCTGAGAACCAAACCACTATTTATTTGACAGATCTTCTGGGAAAGAGGCTTCTAAGAACCAGATGAGAAGAGCATTTTGGATCACAGCCCACCTGCAAGTTAGGATCTGTAACGTAAGAGCCAGAACACCAGATAGGCAGAGAGAGCCTGCCTGGTTTCTGAACTGAGTGAGACAAACATGGAAGAAATTCTAAAGCTTGGGGATGGGTTCTTTTCTTTATAGCCATTCACACCCTAGGGGCATTACAGAGACCTTACAGACCTAAGGATTAAGAAGATTAGTGGAGTCTATTTGATACCAAGTTTCATTTCTCAGCCTTTTCTGTTAAATTCATTATGCTTTTCTTTTTTCATTTAAAATAAGCATTGAGACTTTGTCCCCAACTAAGTTTCCCAAATGGCTACATGACTGAGAACCCAGACCCAAGCACAATGCTGTGGCTGGGGTGGGTAGCGGGCTGGCTTCAGTTCTGCCAAATTGTGGGGGCTGATGATCTCCTTTCAGGGGAGGGGTGTGGGGTGCTGGGAGGGATGTCGGTGAGTAGAAGGGGAACGGCCTCCCTGTGGGTGACTCTGGAGCTGGCAGTCCTTGCCCAGCCCCTCCCGCTGCTTCCTCCCACTCTTCCACATGCGGAAAGGGTTCTGTGCCTCTCACAGCAGCATCTGGCCCTCTGGCCTGAGTCGGTTCGGTGTACTTGCCTAGAAGGTTATTTAGCTCTGGAACTCACAGGAGTAAGAAGTTCGGAAAAGCACAGTGAGTCCCTGCCCAGCTCCAGGACCAATCTGAAAATTCTGGTCTGGTCACCAGCAGATGACAGTTCCTTCACTTATAGCAATTTTGCTAAGCACATTTATTTGCTTTCTCTGGAAACCTTCAGCACTAAATGTGTCGGTATTTCCACCTGAGAAGGTTTTTAACTGCAAAAAAGAGCAGAATGGTGAACAATAATAAAAATACCGTGAGAAAGAAAATGCCTATGGCTGTAATCCCACAGGACAGCTTGACATCAGATAGCTTAACTCCCCTTAGAGACGGCGGGTTTGCACACGTGGTCTCCTCCGAGCCTTCAAGTTTGTGCAGGTTTTCTTTGTACCATGTTAAGAAATGAATATTCGAGCAAGTGCAGTCCAGGGGATTGTGACTGAAATTAATGGTGCTCTGCTGGGACAAGATGGGGAGGAGATGGGGTGGGATGATGTTAATGCTGTTGGCGGCCAGATTGAGGTAAATTCCCTTAAAATGACTAACAGAAGCAATGCTGTCACATGTCAGGCTGTTGTGGCTTAAGTCTACATGGCTCATTTTTCCCAAGCCGTGGAATGCTTGCTGGTCTATAGAGAGGAGACCACAGGAGGATAAAATCAGAATCTCCAAGCTGCCCACGGTCTGAAGTAGGTTGGTCTTCATGATAGTCCCATCTTGAAAGTGATTGCCTTTTAAGTTGAGATGCCGGAGATCTGGTAGGCCTGCTAGAAGATGCTGATTGCTGGTATCAAGGAAGCAGTAAGTGAGATTCAGAACCTGCAGGAAATGGAGGTTTTGGAAGGGACTTTGTGGAGCATTAATGTGTAAGCGGGTAAATGCCAAATCCAGGAGTTCTAGCCGAGGACATTCTTTGAATGCCTGACTCTGGAGACCAAGAAGCTCATTGTGGCTCAGGTTTAAGGTTTGCAAGTGGGACAGGTTTCTGAGTTGCAGATTGCAGCAGTCAGAAGCCTCTATGTCATTATGGCTTAAATCAAGTATCTGAAGGTTTCCTAGTTTCTCCAAACAGCCAACACCAAGGTGAAGTTTCTTCACGTTGCCTCTGACGTAGAGGTGTGTAAGGGAGGGGAAATTGGCAGCACTGATTTGACACAATTGGTCAAAATGATTTACACTGAGAACTAATTTCTTGAGCAAGTTCAGACCCTTAATCCCAGAGGGTAACCCTGCCAAGTGAGTTGCTGTCAGATCCAATTCCTGGATTTGGGTGAAGCACTGAAATGTGGTGGATGAGAAGTCAGAGAAGTGGTGTTTCTGCAGGTTGAGGCTCTCAACAGACATTTCACAGAGTCCCTTGAGCATGGCTGAACTAATGTCTTCGTCATCAATGTCCTCAAATGTTCCCAGCCAGAGAGACTGAGTAGTAGAGTTCTGCAGACCATTGAATATAACAGACAAATTTAGAGTCCCTCCAAAGTTCAAACTTTGGAAGACTATTGAACCAAAAGCCCCAGGCTCAATACCTTTAACATCATTGCCATTGAAGTTCAGGCTTAAGTTGGTGGCCTGCTCCAGAGACCTCATGTCTTCTCTAGAGAGGTAGTGTATAGCATTATTCTGAAAATCCAGTACTTTCAGATTCCGTGCTGGGAAGTCTTTGGGGAACTTAATGGAGGAAATATGGTTGCTTCCAAGATACAAGCTTTCCAAGTTTTCCAGATTGTGCACTGGAATAAACTCGAGATTGGATATTCCCGTTTGGATTAAGAAAAGATGCTTCAGTGACTTGGGCCCATTAAGCGATGTTTCTGCCATGAATATCAAGGGATTTCCAGTTAACACAAGTGTGTTCAATTGATGATGGCTTTGAAAAGTGTCTTCATGTATCCAATTAATCTGGCACCTTGAAAAGATAATTGTATTTAACAATAATTCATTTGCAAAAAGGAAAAATAAAAACCTATACAGTGACACACATTAACAAAGTCATCTTTTGTATCATTCAAAATCAAACATAAGAACTTTCTTCAGTATCAACAGATGGCCTATTGAAGGAATTAATGAGTAGCCTCACTTCTGAACACTCCAATCTAGATTTTTTTCCGGGTATCTCACCCCTTAGATTGAACCCTCAGAGGTTTGTGCCTGTATTCTAATGAACCACACGTCATTTGATTGTGGGCAAAAATCAAACTATTATTTACTGTTTTAAGTAATACAAAATATGTCATATAGAATGCATAATAGATAATATATACTATAAATACGTATATATATATATACAAAAATCTGTGTCATCCCGGGCAAGTTTTCTCAACCTCTGTATTTTCATCTGAGAAAACTATCCTGGTTTTGCACCTAAAAATACTGGATTACACACACATACACACACACACACACACACACAGATGGTCTCCTCCTCTAACCATAAGTTGGATGATAATATGCACCATGGAACCTTACAGTGCTGGTTTTAAAGATGAAGCGGTACTATGGATGTGGACATTCTGTCCACAGAAGCTGAAGTTGAAGGACAAAACAGAAGAAGCAGAACTGCCACAAGGGGTGCAGACTGAAGGTACACACAGAGCCTGTCCCCTCTCTCTTACACACACACACACACACACACACACACTACAGTCCTTTCATTTTCTTCCCTTATTTTCTTGTAATACTTCTGTCTACTGGTTCTCAAACACTGGCTCAGCATGTGGAATCCCAATTCCACCACTATAACAAAATAATGGAACTCATTTTCCAATTTGTTGGGGCAGGGGGGAAGTAGATGGTGTGCTTTTCTCCTAGAAATTTTTCTTAAATGTCATTACCCAAAAATAAACTATGCCAAAATTCAGCATAGTTTGGCATCTGATTTAATATAAGATTATTTTCATTTTTGCTATCAGTATTCTTTAGAACTGCTCAAACAGTACTGTTGTTGCAACTAGTTTGAGAGCAATCCACTTTCCTCTCCATTGGTTGATGTTTATTTAAATTACATTTCACCCACACAGAAGTATTTCATAGGGAGGTATAAACATGTAGTATAAGCAGATTGTCCCTGGGCCTCCAAAAAAGGTCCTGCAAATAAATTGAGCACATACTGTACTTTAACTTAGGTAAAATATCAAAAGCACACATACAACTCAGATACATACCTAGTTAAATCCAAAAAGGTAAGATTCATGAGTCTGCTGAAGGTTCCATTGTGAATTGTAGGCAAAAAATTAAAGCTGAATTCCAAAAATTCTGTTGTGTTTGGTAGAGTGTCAGGGATTTCACTGAGACCTAAATTTTCACAGTTATATGTTTTGTTGGCTTCTTTCTGATTGGAGAAACAAAGTAAATTAATATTCGACTTAATAATTTGATTGACTATCTAGCAAAATTATATATGTTTTACCTTCCGAGCAGCAATCGTACTTCTAGTAATCTTTACCAAATATACACTTGCCAAAAACAAGATGATGAATGCACATTATTAACTGTAGTAATTGTTTTGTAATAGCAAGATTGACAATAACCAGACTGTTCATCAATATAGGACTACTTGAACAAAACATGGTACATTCACAAAATGGAATCCTTTAAAACTGAAAAAAAAAAAAAACTCCATATATTGATATGGAGTGACACCCAGGATAGATTTCAAGGTGAAAAAAGCAAACCGCAGAACAATATATGTAGTGTATATAGTATACAGTATGTAGTATAATGTACAGAGTATGCCTTTTGTGTAAGAAAGGTATGTGTGAATTTTCTTATATTTGTGAAAACAAACCATGCAAAAAAACCCAATGACTGATTGCCTTTAAGAAGAGGGAAGAGACCAGACAGAAGAGCAGGGATAGATGTGAGACTTCTCTGAATGCACTTTGTTTTACAGTTTTGATTTTGGTTGAATGGAAATGTTTAATTTCAGTTTGAAACAAACAAATCAACCTTAGATAAGTATCACCAAAATGAGACAATCAAACATTACATACTTTCGGATGTGAGACAATGTGAGGTACGCAGCATTGTCTATGAAGTATTCTTGCCAAGAAAAAAATTAAACTTGAAACTCATTAAGATTTTAGGTTTAACTTCACATCTCAAAGTGATATGTTGGGTTTAAGTGGGACATTCTATAGAACAACTGACTTTGTTTTCTCTCTCTCTCTCTCTGTGTGTGTGTGTGTGTGTGTGTGAGAGAGAGAGAGAGAGAGAGAGAATGAGAGAGGAGATAGTGCTTGTTAAAAGACATAGAGATATAAAATTTACTTAAGAGACATAACCATCAAATAATAGAGTAGCCCTCATTTAGAACCTGATCCAAATAAAGCAGTTCAAAAAGGCATTTTATAGACTGTTAGGGAACTTTGAATGAGGACAGAATTCGATGATATTAAGGAATTCTGGATTTTGTTAATGACAGCGGACTTGTGGTTATGTAAAATAAATGTTCTTAGTCTTTTGAGATGCATATTTAAATATTTAGGAGTAAAACGGCATGATGTTGGAATTGGCTTTACAATACTCTGGCAAAAAAGGATGAGAGGAATGTAGAAATGAAGTGAGTAGGCCAAATGCTTATGATTGTTGCATTTTTAGGTTCTTTGTTACTATTTTTGTATATGCTTAACATGTTTTCTTAACTCAATGCTTAAAAAAACTAGCAGGGTGGCATAGACCTGAGGCCTTGCAATCTTGAAGTATGAATTAATTTTAGATCTCTGGATTTGTAGGCTGCTGATACCAGACGGTAGGCTTTTGGGCACGACCCTATACATAAGTTCCTACACATGAGGTTGTTCCTCATCCTGTGCCCCAGGGTAGTCATGGATTCTGAAGCCTGCCAATCATGTCCTAACACAAGTTATGTGTTGAACTAAGTAGGTAAAAAATGGGAAGTGGTTATTTAGAAGCCTGTAGAACTGTGGTGTCATTATTTATCTGGCTAATGCTTTAAGACAAAGGGTAATAGGGCAAATAGAAAGGTCTGACAGGGCAGGTATGAAAGTCTGATGGAGTATATTTTGCCTGTGGACTCTCCTTGGAAAGATATAAATGATCTCTAGGGAAAGTTCCTGCTATGCTTTGAATATGTCCTTCAAAGTTCATGTGTCAAAAACTCAATTGCCATTGTAATACTAAGAGGTGAGGCCTTTGGGAGGTGATTGGATCATGAAGTTTCCACACTCATGAATGAATTAATGCTATTATTGCAGAGTGGGTTAGTTATCACGGGACTGGACTCCTGATAAAGGGAGTAAGTTATTGGGAGGCCAAGGCGGGCAGATCACAAGGTCAGGAGTTCGAGACCATCCTGGCCAACATGGTGAAACCCGTCTCTACCAAAAACACAAAAATTAGCTGGGCATGGTGGCGCATGCCTGTAATCCCAGTTACTCGGGAGGCTGAGGCAGGAAAATCACTTGAACCAGGGAGTTAGAGGTTGCAGTGAGCCAAGATCGCGCCACTGCACTCCAGCCTGGCCGCAAAGTGAGACTTCGTCTCAAAAAAAAAGAGGGGGGGGGTAAGTTAGGCCTCCATTTGCTCTGTCCACATGCTTGCTTTCACCTTCCTCCATGGAATCACGCAGCAAGAAGGCCCTCACCAGATACCAGAGCCAGGCTCTTGGGCTTCCCAGCTCCCAGCTATGAGAAATAAATTACTTTTCTATACAAATTACCCAGGCTGTGGCATTCTGTGATAGCAGCAGGAAACCGACTAAGACAGTGACCTTGGAGGCACAAGAACAAGGACATCCCAGGACCTTGGGCCAGCTCTCAGATCATCTCAGGCTCCAGGTGAGTTAATCCAATCTTCCAGCCCTTGCCTTTCCCTGACACATAGGGGCTCACTAGAAGCCCCACTGAGACTTCCCTGGCCTGGAAAAGATCTACTCTGGTACGGACTCCAGATCAGTGGCTTTTCTCATGCTGAGTTACAAACAGATCTGCTTAGTGGGAAACAGAACTGCACACATCCTGCTTTGCTCTGAAGCAGGAGGCTCTTGAGATGTCACCATTATAACCTCATTTTCTTTCATTCCAATTTCTGTTTAGTGATGCACTTTTTTGTAGCCACAGAACATGCTCATCACAGAAAGTCACCAGTTGTCTTCGATATTGTGACAACATTATGACTGTCACTGATGAAAATGCTTTATTTATATGTCCTTGTAATTTATTCTTCGTTTTATAGACCGAAAGTCCTCCAGGCACTGCCACAAATCCACATAATGTCCTTGAAATGCACACTTTGCATTTAAAACTTAGATTTAGCTGACTGGTGGGGAAAAAAACCACGTGTTGCCAGACCTATCCTCGGTGCCCATGAATATGGACGACCCAGAGAGAATATGCATGTGCAGCTGCTGCCCCAATAGTTGCAAAGGTGCTGATCAGCTTAGAGGAGACATTTTTCTTTTCTGGTCTCCTTTGGCATAACTGATGTCACATACGGTTGGAGAAAAGGGACTTCCTCAGTTTGTCTCACTCTATTCTGGCCCTACAGCAAAAGGCTCAATGCTGTCATTTCCCTCCTTCTCCTGAATATGTAAGTGCCCATGATACCTAAATTATTCTGTGCCTCAGCCTTTTGTGTGCTTTACTAAGCACTTTACTGCACTAATGTGATGCAGAAGATTGAGAATCCAGGAGGAGTTCTACTAAACCAGTGGCCTGAGTGAGCTCCTTGAAAATAGAAAGCAGGTAAATGAAGCAGCTTGGTTTCAATCCAGTGAAAAACTGATAATGAGTGGATGACGCTACCAAGAGGATCAAGAAGGCCACCATGAGCCTGTGCCATAATATTGAATCATCTCTGGTTAGGTGGAAATGGCAATAGATTCTGTGCCTTTGATTTTTAGGAGAAAGAGGCAAGTGACAAGAAATACAACTGATAAGAGAATTTAGAAACCAAACACATTTTAGAGAATGTCTAGGGCTCAGCATACACGTAGCCCTTCCCTTATAGCTTTTATAATCACAATTGTATCATCAAAATGGCCACGATGATAGAGGCACCAAAGCACCACATGCTCTGGAATTATCTAGGAAGCATTAGATTGTTTTCAGACTATTGTAAGACAGAAAGTACACACACATGCATGCACACACACACACTATTATTCACATTCTTTTTGATGGAGAGTACACTACTGCCATCATGACCCTTAAACCCTAAACACCAAGGTTTATATATCCTAAAATCAAGGATATTATATGACTACAGTGCCATTATGAAATTCAGGATATTTAACATTGATACAATGTTATTATCCAACGTATTGTCTATATCCAAATTTTGACAATTGTCCCATTATTATTCTTTACAGTAATTTTTGTTTTTCCAATCCAGGATCACACATTGCATTTAGTTGTTGTATCTCCTTAGACTCCTTTAATCTGAGACAGTTCCTCAGCCTTTGTCTTTCATGACATGAATGCCTTTTGAAGAATGCAGGCTCATATTTTACAGAATGTCCCAGTTATAGGTTTGTATGCTCCTCGTGATTTGACCCTGGTTGTACATTTTTGGTAGAAATATTGCATTAGTAAGGGTGTGCCATTCTCCCTATCAATATTCAAATGAAACTTTTTGAGCATGAGTTCTGATAGCCAGGGTCCCAGAACAGTAGAATGGTAATGCAACAGAGAGTCAAAGGCCAAGATGCAGAGAAGGAACACTGGGTCCCAGCAGACAGCATGGCCACCGCCAGGACCATGTGCTTCTGTTACTTTTTCTGGGCAGACACCCACTACCATTGCAGTTTCTCTGATCTCCACATGACCATTTCCTATAAATCCAGCCTTTTCTTCCGAGAGAAGTCTAGAAATGTGGTCAATTTCCAAAGTCCCTTTCTCACCTCTCTGCTTCTGCTGGCTCCTCTGCAGACGGGACTTCTTGATGTGAATTCACACAGTGAGCAGAGCTCTGGCAAGGCCACGTGGTATTCATGACAATTGCCTCATGTCCATCACTATTCTAAGTCAAGGGGCATTCGCTTGGGACCCACTGTGCACTGGGACCTGTGTCATCTGTTTGTCTCGAGCTCTGTCTCAGAGCTGTGCTCCCAGAGCTACATCTGTATTTACAATCCCTTTTCCTGCTAGGTATTCATTTGCATTTTTTCAATCAGGCTCTTATTTTCCTCCCTTTTGCTGTATATCTAACTCCCTCTCATCCCGCTGTATTTTCTTTCCTTGCAAGTGTTGAAACATTTTCTAATTTGGAACTCTTTGAATTTCACTCAAGTGTTTATTCTCACCTTTTCGAATTTCTCATCTGCACTTGACACACACAGCAGCCAGCCCCCCATGCATGAGAAGTCTGGGACATTGACCTCTAACCCTTCCTCATTAATCATACCTCCATCCAAGACAGAGCAATTGACTGAGGCAAATCCCAGAGCAACAATTACCCTCTGAAAACAAAACAAACACTCCCTAGAGAGCACATCCCTATAACTTCGTTGTCAATCTCATTCCTCCAGGCAAAGGGCATTCCAGTTGCATGCACTTTATTTCCTGTTTGTAAAGTCAGATTGCTTGGGTTCAAATCCTAGCTCTCAACCACCAAGCTGTGTTATCTGAGCCTTCCTTTTCCTCAACTGTAGATTGAGGTTAGGAACTTCATCTTGCAAGTTTACTGTGAGGATTAATGCGATAATGTGTGCCAGCACTAAACAAGAAGAGTTAGTGTTTAACTGGATCATCACAACCTCGCATCACTATCGAAAACTATTGGGAACCCCTTGTGTCTATGAACTTGGAGTTCACCCCTTGTGTCTATGAACTTGGAGTTCCTTTCAAAAAAGAGCTCTGCAAAACAGTCCCCATCCCACACCTAGGGACTGAAGGGCTCACTTCTATCACAGTTTTGAGGGAAAAGGATGGCCAAGCTGAGCTCACTTGAAAAGGGGAGGCATGCCCGCATTCTCAAGTAAATATTTCAAGAGTGCATCTAAAATGATACCACAATCCAAATCACAGAACACTGAATTCCAGCTGCTCTTTGCATAGTTATCAGCTTCCAAAGACTTGATATGGGTCCTCATATTTTTGTTTAAGTCACACATATACAGGGACACAAACATTCACAGAGAGAGACAGAGAGAGAAAACATGTAGCATTTGACAATGGAATAATCTATGTAGACTATAGGTGTTCATTGTAATAGTCTTAGAACTTGTAGGTAGGTTTGGATATTTTTCCAAACAAAAAGTTTTCTTTAAAAATTAATCTTGACTCCTACTTGTATGCAAAAAACAAAAACAATTTTGATGGATCTAAATGTGAAACCTAGAAATAGAAAATAAATACAAAACAATAAAGCTTCTAGAAGAAACATGGGATAATATCACAGTCTTGAGGTAGGCAAAGATTTCTTAAACAGGACAGAAATGTACTGAAAATACAGGGAAAAAAAATAAGTTGAGGTATATTAAAAATAAGAACTTTGGGGCTGGGTGCGGTGGCTCATACTTGTAATCCCAGCTCTTTGGGAGGTCGAGGCAGGCAGATCAGGAGGTCAGGAGATTGAGATCATCCTGGCTAACATAGTGAAACCCCATCTCTACTAAAAATACAAAAAATTAGCCAGGCATGGTGGAGGGTGCCTGTAGTCCCAGCTACTTGGGAGGCTGAGGCAGGAGAATGGCGTGACCCTGGGAGGCAGAGCTTGCAGTGAGCTGAGATCGTGCCATTGCACTCCAGCCTGGGTGACAGAGTGAGACTCCATCTCAAAAAAAAAAAAAAAAAGCTTTGATTCAGCAGATGATACCATTAGGAGAGTGGAAAGGCAAGCCACAGAGTGGGAGAAGGTATTTGCAATCTGATGGAGGACTTATATCTACATTACATAAAGAACTCCTACAAATGAATAAAAAAAAGGCAACTCATGTGAAAATGGGCAAAACACTTCAACAGGCATTTCACACACATAAAAAAGAATATGCAAATGACTGATTAATTGAACAATTTAATTGTTCACCAGGAAAATAAAAATTAACTCCTAGTGAAGTACCAATACCCACCCATCAGCATTGCTAACATTTTAAAAACAAACAATACAAAATGTTAGTGAGGCTGTGGAGCAGTTAGAACTTATGCACATTGCCACAGAGTATAAACTGATAGTAACACTTTGCAAAACTGGCAATATCTATTAAAGTTTGAACATAATGTTTACCCATGATCAAATACATCCACTCCTAGGTATACACCTAATAAACATTTGTACCTCTGTTTACTAAAGACATAGACAAGAATGTCCAAAGCAGCATCATTCATAATAGCCAAAAAATTGGAATCAATGCAAACGTCCATTAACAGCGGAATGGATAAATAAATGGTGGCTCACTAATACAACAGAGTAACATTAAGCAATAAAAATGAACAAATGATTGCTGCACACACCAATAAGTCTCACAAATTTAATGTTGAACAAAAAAAAGGCAGACACAAAAGAGTACACACTGTATGGTCCCATGTACATAAAGTTTAAGACCAGGCAAAACCAGTTTCTGGTGATGTAAACTAGAATACTGGATGGTTTCAGGGGTTAGTGCCAGGGAGCAGGCATGAGATGAGGAGGGCTTCTGAGGTGCTGAGAATGTTCTACATCTTGATCTGTGTGCTAGTTACATGGATGTGCTCACGTGGTGAAAACTCGTTTAACTGTACACCTATGACTTGTGAACTTTTCTATATGTATGTTTTACTTCAACAAAAAGTTTATTAAGCTCAAAACAAAGCCAGACAAAAACTATTTTTAGGCTAGGGCTTATAAACAAGTGTGAACTGAAAGAGCCAGCCAATCCTTCAAACTGAACCCTTTGTTAGGCCTTTCTTGCATTGTTATAAAGAAATACCCTGCATTGGCCAGGCGCGGTGGCTCACGCCTGTAATCCCAGCACTTTGGGAGGCCAAGGCAGGCAGATCACGAGGTCAGGAAATCGAGACCACCCTGGCTGACACGGTGAAACCCCGTCTCTACTAAAACTACAAAAAATTAGCCCGGCGTGGTGGTGGGTGCCTGCAGTTCCAGCTGCTCGGGAGGCTGAGGCAGGAGAATGGCATGAACCCGGGAGGCGGAGCTTGCAGTGAGCCGAGATTGGGCTACTGCACTCCAGCCTGGGCGACAGAGTAAGACTCCGTCTAAAAAAATTAAAAAAAATAAAAAATGAAAAAATAAATAAAAATTAAAAAAAGACAGGAAGAAAAAAATACCTGGTACTGCGTAATTTATAAAGACAACAGGTCTAAATTGGCTCACTGTTCTGCAGGCTCTACAGGAAGCACGGTGCTGGTGGTATCTGCTTGGCTTCTGGGGAGGATCTGAGACACAATCATAGCAGAAGGCGGAGGCGGAGCAGGCACGCTGCATGGTGAAAGCAGGAGAAAGAGAATGACAGGGGAGGTGTCACTCTTTTCAATGACCATATCTCAGGAGAACTCATTACCACCAAGAAAGCACCAAGCTGTGACGGAGCTGCCCCCACACACCTCCCACCAGGCCCTACCTCCACCACTGGGGATTACAGTTCAACATGAGATCTGGGCAGGGACACAGATCCAAACTATATCAGATCCCAAGTGGCGAACTGGGCCTAAATTTTAAATAGAGCCAAGAAGCCACTTGCTGACTAGAGGTCACACATGTACTCTGAATTTCTGAAAATTTCCAGCTCTCTTTAATTTTGGAACGTTCAGATCTCATCTGAACCAACCAATCAGGGCTCAGCTTTATCAACCAGTCAGGAGCGAGCTGCACCAACAGATCAGAACTAAGCAAGTTTGAATCCTTCTGCTGCAAAATGAATCTGACTGGGAACCTGAGTGGCAAATTTCTCTCTATGGAAGCCAAGTTCCTCATTTGTTCTCTGGAATGCACCATACAAAAGCTACGTGTCAAGGGCCGTGTCTCTCCAGTTTGCGAACTGTTCATTGGAATACAGTCTCGTTCCTCAGATTCCTCTTCAGAGAACTTTTGTTCACAGGCTTAATAGGGTAATGGTGGTCACATGAACATGCAGACGCTGTGTGGTTAACAATGCATGACCTGAAGGGGGAAGAAGAAAAGAGGAAACAAAAGAAAAAGAGGAAACAAAAGAAAACGGGGTAATTTACGTTTGAAAAAGGGCCAAACCCTTAAGTCAAAGGCAAGAGTTTATTCTTTTAGCCAGCCCTCCTTTTATCCCTTGCCAGCAGCCTGGAAAGTTCCAGACTCTCAGGAATAAGTTCCATGTGTCTTTGCATCCCCCAGCTCCCTCCTTGGTATCCACACAGTAGCAAGAGCTTCCTAAACAACAGCCTTAGAGCCTTGTTCTTGAGAACTCACACATGATAGATGAAACAAAAGAAAATACAGATCTTATCCTAATTGAATAGTTCACAAAGTCATTTAAAATCAGACTTCTTTCAGAGGGAGGGCTGCAGGAAGGTTGTTGTATTGGAAGGTTTCAGTTTCATCTGGCTTATCCAAAAAGGAAAGACTTTGCTGCCACACAGGACTAAGGCTTGCAGGCCCTAGAACCCTGAGCACCACTCCTGAGACATGAATAGCACTGAAGGCCACAGAACAGGCAGCCAAAGGACTCGGGGGCCTCCCCCTGATGCAAGGATTTCAGAGTTAAACATATAGGTATATAAGAGTGGGGCATTTAAAAGAGCCTGCTTCCCAATGAGCTGAAAATAAATGGTGATGTTATCCTATCAGAGGCTGTTGCCTGGAAGTGATAACCTGTGTTTCTGATCACTGAGGGGATGGTGTCCTCATTCCTACCCACTTGTCATGCCTCCCAAAGGTCTGTATGACATTGACCTGAAACCACCTTTGCAAAATTATGACAGCAAGAGAAATATGACATAGGTGACTCCATCTTTCTTCTAACCTCCAATTTCTCCTTGGTCATTCCTGGGTATAGACCAAGCTGAATTTGGGACAAATTTAGTTTATAGTTTAACCTTAAAGCAAGGATGATAATAACCCTTCTTAAAACAAAAGCACATTTTTAAAGCTAAAGAAAGGTTAGGATTTTGAGAGGGGCTTGAATTTGCCTAAGGTGTTGGCATAGTTACTCCTTACTGTGCAGGAGTCATGTGGCCAAAGATCACGAGATTTGTGACTTCCCCAATTACTCCTATAGTTAACATCACTATTATAGAATCTAAGACTTTTTTTGAGATATCTTTCAGACTAACCCCACCCAGACTTCTGACCCAACCCATCCTGTGGCCTCACCCAGAGGTGGACTCCAGAACTGAGGACCGTTTTCCAAAACCTTATGACTTCTTCCCCAACCAGTCAACATTTGCCATTCCCGTGTGCCCTGCCCACCAAACTATCCTTGAAACTCCTAATCTCCAAAACTTTGGAGTGATTGATTTGAGTAATAGCTCTGTCTCCCACCTGGCATGGCCAGTCTGGCATCAATTAAACTTTCTTTACCTCAGTGCCATAGTCTCAGTGGATTGATTTTGTCTGTGCAGTGGGCAGGAAGAACTCGTCGGCAATTACAGACCTTCCAACCTGAAGGATGAGGGGACAGCCTTCTGGGGCTGATAGAAACGTCTTACTCTTCCCATTCTGTTATGAGCTGAATTTTCTCTCCCCCACCACCAAATTCATGTTTGAAATCCTAACCTCCAGGACCTCAGAATGTGACTGTATTTAGAGACATGGCCTTTAAAGAGGTCATTAAGGGAAGCTGAGGTCATGTAGGTGGGCCCTGATCCAATCTGACTGGAGACCTTAAAAGATGAGGAAATTTGGACAAACAAAAAGACACCAGGGACACTCATGTACACAGGAAAGGCCATGAGAGGACAAAGAGAGGAGATGGCCATCTGCATGCCAGGGAGCAAGGGTGCAGAAGAAGCAAACTCCGCCAACACCTTGATCTTGAAATTCCAGCCTCCAGAACTGTGAGACAATCCATTTCTCCTGTTTAAGTCACTCAGTCTATGGTATTCGGGTTTTTTGGTTTGTTTTTGTTTTTTGGTGTATTTGTTTGTTTTGAGACAGAGTCTTGCTCTGTGACTCAGGCTGGAGTGCAGTGGCACAATCACGGCTCACTGCAACCTCTGCCTCCCGGGTTTGAGTGATTCTCCTGCCTCAGCCTCCCAAGTAGTTGGGATTACAGGCATCTGCCACCACGCCCAGCTAATATTTGTATTTTTAGTACAGATGGGGTTTTGCCATGTTGCCCGGGCTGGTCTTGAACTCCCAGTTTCAAGCCATCCACCAACCTTGGCCTCCCAGAGTGCTGGGATTATAGGCGTGAGCCACCACACCCTGCGCAGTCTGTGGCATTTGTTATGACAGCCCAATCTAACCAACATGCACCTTCCCAGCCTTTGTTTCTCGTGGGCATGATGCCTCCTCTTGGCCTGCTGCTAATTCCATCCTAATGCCAGACTAACAAGGCTCTGCTCACCCAGCTCTGAGCCTTACCCCAGCGCTGGCTTTGCTCTGCTCTTCTGATCCTCTGACCTCCTTCTAGTCCTGCCCCAGGGCACCTCCACATCTGGCTACTCCTGGCTCTCTTGTTCTTCTTCTTCTTCTTTTTTTTTTAGACGGAGTCTCACTCTGTCGCCCAAGCTGGAGTGCTGTGGCGTGATCTCAGCTCACTGCAAGCCACAGGCACCCGCCACCACACCCGGCTAATTTTTTGTGTTTTTAGTAGAGACGGAGTTTCACCGTGTTAGCCAGGATGGTCTTGATCTCTTGACCTCGTGATCCACCCCACTCGGACTCCCAAAGTGCTGGGATTACAGGGCTGAGCTACCACGCCCGACCATGGCTCTTACTCTTCTTTTAACCTCAACCCAGACCAGCAGCTCACCAAGCCACCAAGACTCACGGTCCCTCCTGTATGTAGCCCTTGTCTGACAGACCATGTGGTATTGGACACTTGTGGGGTCAGAGAAAGCGGGAGGAAGTTTGAAGAATTTCAGAGGATGGCAAGAGACGGAGGTCCTTCTCCTTTCTCTCTCACCACCCCCTCCAAGAACTTCCCACAGGTTGATAAATATTGCTGTGGTCCAAAACAGAAGGTGCAATTTGGCTCTATTCTCAGATTTTCCTCCTGTGGGTTAGTAAAACAGATGGAGGGCTGTCCAAGTCGAGGAGAAAGCCAGACGCATTCAGAGTGATCTTTTCAATGCTCCAAAACCTGGCACAGGCCTGTCTTTACTAATTCTCACCCTGAGAGCCAGGAGACCAAAGGACTCATTGGGATAGTGGCCATGTGAGCGTGGGGATGTTAAACCAACAACTCCCCAAGGCTGAGGCAGGTTTAGGGTCTGCTTTGTGCACAGAGACCCTATTAATATCTTATGACCCACTTGGGATTATTTGGGTGGAATTGTTTGAAGAGGAGAAAAATTCTCATTGCTTCCTATTAAGATGCCACCAGATGATCCCCTGGCTGAGTTCTTTGGCACCTTTCTCACAATAATGAAAAAATTATATATATACCTCATTTCCTTTTTAAAGACCCTGGATATTGGGATGCCAAGGTTCAGATTGAACTGCATGCTAAATCTCAAAATTTTCAGTTTAATCTGCATGAAGACAAACAGTTTGGACTCACCTCAATGCACATCTGATCCAAGGAGGTGATGACTTTACAGCCGGCAGAAAACAGCACCACCCAAAAGAAGCAGCTGACGTCAAACGCCATCACAGGACTGGTGCAATCCTAGCTTGGTGGGTTTACCCAATGCTTGGAGCTGAGAAATGGAATCAAACTATGAAGGCCCTGGCAATTTGGCAGCCAGAGAGGTACTCAGAAGGGTGATCTTGGAACAAGAAATGCTGTTGACTGCTCAGCATTCTGTGACTCTGTGCTGAAAAAAAAAAGGAAGTCCCTTTTGCATACCACCCATCTTTGCCAAAAATAACTGAGGACCCAGCCCCAGAATGGCCCATTGCATTTCCTGGCACTGAACATGAATCAGTTGTGCAGTCCTTTTGGGCTGATCACACAGACTTTCGTTGTGATGGTTCCAATTGACTTTATGCCAACTTCAAGTATTTGGCCAACTCCAACAGCTTCTGGTCCTTTTCCCCGAGAGAGGCTGTGGAAGCTCTTCTCACCAAGGAGGCCACTTTCTCAGTTGTCCTGGGTGAGTGAATAAGAGGTGTCAGAGAACATGGAAAGGCAGAGCACTCTGTGGGGGCAGGTTGAAGAAATGAGCCCTTCAGTGGCACCTGCTGAGCTGGGAACTGGAGCAGGAGGGAGCAGGCTTGAGAGTATATCTGTTCCTTGAGCCTCAGCTGCTGCCTTGGCCACCTCGTCCATCCCCACCTCTGGTCTTCGTATAGGAGGAAGATTACTTCATCTCTTGACCTGGCGGTTCAGACTTGTTAAAGCAGTTGGGGTGAACTCCTCTCTTGTTCCCTCCTAACCTGGTCTGGGGAAGTAGGGGACATTGCCATAGATAGAGCAGCCTGGCTAAAGGAGGGGAGAGTTAGGGATGCCAGCCTTGGCACTATTCTTAGAAATAGCTTTGGAGCAGGATTGCAATTACTCTTATTATGGAGCAAGATGTGGCAATGATTAAAGAAAGCCAAAGTTCAAACATTCCTCAATAGGCTGCATTTAGCTACCTGTTCTGTCTGTTCTTCAGCCCTCTGGTATGCAGGATATATTTGGTGTTGCTGTTCTCCCACTCCATTTCCAAGAGCCCAGTTCTTAGTATCAGAGTTCACAATGACTTGACTACTACTACTACTACTATTACTACCACCACCACCACCTCTACTGTATTACTATGATGAAGCAAATGACTATAGTATCTGCCATTTATTGAGCCCTTACTGTGTGTCATATACTGGGTCAGGTTTAATTTTTTTTTTTTTTTTGCTGCATTTTCCTATCCTTGACTGTTTCCACATGTTCTATAAAAGAGATGTTATTGTTTCCCTCATTTTATAGATATAGAAACTGATGCTTAAGAGAAATTAAATGATCTCTCCAAGTCACACAATTAGAGAGTGGTGGATTAGGGCTTCAGATCCAGAAAATCTCACTGCAGAGATTGTGCTACCACTCTTCATGGTTTAAGAAAGGACTTTGCCTCCTGAAGGAGCTGAAGAGTAGATGAGGTGAAGAATGTTGTTCATCTGGAGATTTCAGAGAAGATGCTAAAAAGCAGAGGGGATTGGAGGAAATATGTACTTGGCACTCTGCTAGGCCTGCTACGCATATTTGGGCTTTCCCTGGTCACCCTTAAAATGCCATCTTCATCAACAAAATCATCTCTGAAGATGCTATCAGCAAGACACAGTCTTAAGCAAACCCAGACCAATGACAGACCACCTTGCTTCAAATAAGACATCCATCAGTGTGCAATGGGAAGAGCTAAGGACTGGGAAGGGTCTAGTGCTAGACCACAGATCCTTGCTTACCAACTGAGTGACCTTGGGCAAATCATTTCACTTCTCTAAGTCTGTTTTCCCATCTGAAAAACAAGAATTATAATTCCTGTTCTGCTTACATCACAGGGTAATTATGAGGATCAAATAGGATCATGTATGTGAAAATGCTTTCCTTACCTTAAAGTCCCACATAAACATGCAGAATGTGAGGCAAGGATTGAGTAACGAATTCTGATGTCATGTAAATATCACTCTCAGGAAATTATCTCCTGCCCCAGAGATGTTGAAAGGCATATTACTTTCCTTCTTAAAGAAAGGTCTGGTGGCTCAGTTAAGGCCATCAGATTTTGTCATTTTCTGAGGCTGTATCATTTGCATATGATTTGCATGTGTTTGCATAATGAATTCAAAAGACTCACTGCAAGTATATAAGAGTAAAATAAAAATGAATGAATATGAGTGACCTTCTGCCACAGCATTCAAATCACATATTCAGGGCATACTACCCTGAAATATGAAATAGATTAAAATTTAAACTATTGCAAACAGATGAGAAGATAGGTTTTAGAGTTTAGAGGCAAGAATGAAACTCTTATTTGGATATATCCAGAATTTGGATATAAAGAATCACATTCTCTTACAGGTCACCCCATCCAAATGATTTTCATGCCTGAATTCTCTCCTATACACCCCTTAAATTACCCCTCTCTGTAGACAAAAACATACTCTCTGAATTATTTTTCAGTCTATTCTGAAATGCTTCAGGTGACAGAAAACTCATCGTCCCTCACCCCTCAATGGTTTTGGCCAATTTTGACTGTTTAAAAGGTTTTATCTTATATTGAACTGTTAAAGTCTCCTTTGGCTAACAGAGTAAGTTCAAGGCCTTTTCTACCTTCAAGTATTTGAAAATAGCTACCATGTCCCTGAATCTTTCCCTTTCTAGGTTGAAAATCTCTAGTTCCTCAAACTATGTAATAAATTCATGTATTACAACCCCTAGCAGGCTGTTTATCTAAATGTTTTCCCAATTGCCCAAGAAAAGCACTGACTTGAATTTTAATCCTAGCTTTGCCACTCACTGGTTGTGTGTCACTGGGACAGTCTCTCAGTCTCAATTTACTTATCTGCAAAATGATGGAGTTGAACTAGCTTATCAACAAGGTACTTCTTTATTTAATACTCCATTACTCTATTTCAAAACTATGATTTCCAATTTAGTTTTGTAACAGAGTTTTTGGCTTGAGCCAATAATATTGAGTTACACTTAATTTTTGTTAATAATCTGCTCTTCCTTTTTTCCAAGTAGTCTCACATCTTCTTGGCAAACAAAAATTACAGAGAGAAGTTTGGCTGGGTGATGGACACCGTGATTTCTGCAATCCCAGTTGACTCACAATGCCATTAAGGGATTAAACTGCCATCACCCATGCTGAGAAACAGTTCTTGCAGAGATATGAAGAGGGAGAAGAGAACATGAGAAAAGGCACCAGAAATGTGCCTTTTATTTCTACTGATCAGCATCCATGTCAGTGAGGAAACAACAGACTGTGGACCCCAGAAATTTTCAAAAGTTCAAGCATCCTTATATTAGGTATTAACATATATTACATACAAATCCCAAATCATTGTTTGTGTTGTTGTGCTGTCTTTTATTCTACTACATTTGCATGCAGTTCATCCCTTGTGGTCAGCTGTCTCCCTATGGGTGACCCCATAGAACTACCCAATTTCCTGTCTGGTAAGGCCCATACATTCCCTTCCTTTTTGCCATGTATTTATAATCTGGGAGTGATTTGGGGTTCTAGGATACCTTATTTGGCTCTTCAAGCTCTTTCCTGGTGATAACTCAAAGGCTAATGTACTTTCTTTTTTTTTTTTTTTTTGAGACGGAGTCTCACTCTGTCACCCAGGCTGGAGTGCAGTGGTGTGATCTTGGCTCACTGCAAGCTCCGCCTCCCGGGTTCATGCCATTCTCCTGTCTCAGCATCCCCAGCAGCTGGGACTACAGGCCACGGCGCCAAGCCTGGCTAATTTTCTGTATTTTTAGTAGAGATGGGGTTTTACCATTCACAGCATGGTCTTGATCTCCTGACCTTGTGATCCACCCGCCTCAGCCTCCCAAAGTGCTGGGATTACAGGCGTGAGCCCCTGCGCCCAGCCAACTAATGTACTTTCTTTCAAGGACGTGCAAACCAGAATATGCTTTTGTGATCTAAGTTTAGCAAAAAGCTAGATGTTTTTAAAATAATTTCATTAGGGAATTAAAACAATAATTTATATTATATCTTATGGGCACCAGTTGGTAGTAAAATGACCTATATTTTTCCCCTCTGTACGTTTAGTTGTAGTTCTGCTTTTTGTTCAAGCCTACTTTTGTACATTCCTGCCTCCAGATGGTTAAGTTTATTTGCATCTAAAATTTAACGTGAATATTTTAAATATTGTATGGCCAATTTTACTCTTTATTGTTATATTTCCCAATGTATGTTTGTTTATTTTATTTTATTATTGTTATTTTTTCAGACGAAGTCTTGCTCTGTCACCCCGGCTGGAGTGCATTTGTTCAATCTCAGCTCACTGAAACCTTGTCTCCCAGGTTCAAGTGATTCTCCTGCCTCAGCCTCCTGAGTAGCTGGGATTACAGGTGTGTGCCACCATGCCCAGCTAATTTTTGTATTTTTAGTACAGATGGGGTTTCACTATGTTGGCCAGGCTGGTCTTGAACTTCTGACCTCAGGTGATCCACCTGCCCAAGCCTCCCAAAATGCTGGGATTACAGGTGAGAGCCACCATGCCCGTCCTGTTTTTTTTAATCAAATTATTATAGCCCAAGGTTCAGAGCCATAAGGGCCCAAAGTCAAGCCCATCTCTCTCTGAGGGTTATTGTTGTGTGCTTCATGAGTGCACCAGAACAAAGCCATCTGTTCCTCTACTCTTGCCTTCTTGTCATGCTGCTTATGCTTCCGTCTTTGTGGTTAATGATACTTGTGAGGCCACCAAGCTAGACAGAGCAAGTGATGGTGATGCTCCTCTCACACCTTGAGAGGAAACAGGGCTCTCCTCATGTCTAGCTTGAATTTATAGGGGAAGAAAGACTTTTCCTCTACCCTCTTTGGTTCTCAGACTGGAGCCTGTGAATTGAACTGACAAAAGACAGATTAACAGGAGAAAAAGCATAATAATTTTATTTGATGTTAATATTTTTATGTGGCACAAGGGCTTCCTAGAAAGACAGGAAGATCCCAAAGAGGCGGTTAGACCCAGAGGATTACATACCATTTTAACAAAGAGCAATCAATTGTGGAGATGTCACAAGAAAAGGAAAAAGGGATTTGAGCTAGGAGCAGTAAATTGTGGGAAAGTGACTGGGAAATATATGGGGAAATTAATGAAAGGTAAGGGTTAAGTAAGGTCTGTTTTGACTCCTTGTCTCCAGTGATAAGAATATTCTCTTATTCCTGGTACAGGAATAGCACCTGTCTCATGGGAAAGTTATGTCCTGTTTTTATGTAAAAATGGGGAGGGCAGGAAGTCTCCCCTGCATCTGCAATTTCTCAGTTATGTTCAGGTCAGAGTAATCAACACATCAAAGTGGTGTATTTTGGGGTGTTATGTTCTGTTCCCCTTCAATTTCGAGCTCAACTGTGTACTTTTGAAGCTGGACAGGCTTGTGATGCTGACCCTCATCCAGAATTTGACTATTTCTCTGCACTTTTTTGTTTGTTTGTTTGTTTGTTTGAGATAGAGTTTCGCTCTTGTTGCCCAGGCTGGAGTATGATGGTGCAATCTTGGCTCATTGCAACCTCTGCTACCTGGGTTCAAGCAATTCTCCTGCCTCAGTCTCACAAGTAGCTGGGATTATAGGTGCCCACCATCATGCCCAACTAATTTTTTGTATTTTTAGTAGATACAGGGTTTCACCATGTTGGCCAGGCTGGTCTTGAACTCCTGACCTCAGGTGATCTGCCCGCCTCGAGCTCCCAAAGTGCTGGTTTTATCAGCGTGAGCCACCACTCCCAGTTCTCTCTGCACTATTATTGGCGCTGCTGCCAATGCCACCACCAACAGTGCAAGCATAGTATCTTCACATTGACATAGAGATTTTTTTTGTGACAGAGGTGAGCTGCTGTCTGAGTCCTTTCATGCCTCTGAGCCCAAATTTTCTTGGCTTCCATACTCAGGGGAAGGGGAGGTCTTTACTTGTCTGATCCAAGGACGTTTGCACTCCCTGCCCCAGGATTTACCTCTTTCCAAGATGAGTGATATTGGAAATAGTCATTCTCTGGGCTTTCATTATAGCAATTTGAAAACTATCTGATGTTGGAACATTCCCCACATCTGGGTTTCAGTATTTTTTTGTGGTCATCCAG